TTGGTGTTGCTGCTCTTACTGCTGGTGCTGTTTTTGTTGCTGCTTCTGTTGTGCTGCTGCTGCCCCTGTTGCAAGGTCTACTGCTGCTGCTGCTGCTGCTGTTGCTGCTGCTGCTCCTGCTCCTGCTATGCTGCTGCTACTGCTTCTGCTGCTGCTGTGCTGCTGCTGCTGCTGCACTACTGCCGCTGGTTCTGCTGCTGCACTGCTGCCGCTGCTTCTGCTGCTGCTGCTGTGCTGCTGCTACGACTGCTTATGCTGCTACTCCTGTTGCTATGCTGCTGCTGCTGCTGCTGCTGCTGCTGCTGCTGCTGCTGCTACCGCTCTGCTCCTGCCTCTGCTGCTACTGCTTCTGCTGCTGCTGCTGCTGCTGCTGCTGCTGCTGCTGCTGCTGCTGCAGTGGATCGTCTGTATCGATATCTTCGTTAGGTGTTTGGGGCGAAGAGCTTTTGGCTGTCGGCAGCAGCGAGGGAGATATAAAGATATTTAAAATAAAAAATAATTAATTTATTTATTTTATTTTTATTTTATTTTATTTATTTTATTTATTTTATTTGTTTTGTTTAGTTTATTTATCTTATTTAGTTTATTTAGTTTATTTATTTTATTTATTTTATTTATTTTGTTCTATTTAGTTTTTTGTTGTTTTTGTTGTGTGGCGTTTTTGTTTGTTTTTTTTTTTCAGTTTATTTATTTATTTTATTCTTTTTGTCTTTTTCTTTTTTTTTTGTTTTTTTATTGTCTCAACAACTTAATTTATTTTTACTTTTTTTTCTTTTTTTTTCTTTTTTATTTATTTTTTTTTTTTTATTTATTAACTTTTCGTCTTTTAATTTTATAAAGCGTCTCGGGTGTACGTACAGCCCAGCTTGCAGCAGCAGCAGCAGCAGCAGCAGCAGCAGCAACAGTAGCAGCAGCATCAACAGTAGGAGCAGCAGCAACAGTAGTAGTAGCAGCAGCAGAAGCAGCACCAGGAGTAGCAGCAGCAGTAGCAGCAGCAGCAGCAGCTGCTGCTGCTGCAACAGCAGCAGCAGCTGAGTTTGCTGCTGCTGCTGCTGTCGTTGCTAGGGCAGACAGACTGCATGCACAAGATAAAGCAGCAGCAGCAGCAGCAGCAGCAGCAGCAGCTGCTGCTGCTGCTGCTGCTTTATCTTGTGCATGCAGTC